ACGAACAAAATTGATCTCTTCAATATCCTTCACTCGTCAACTGGAATAAACGAATTCTCGCGCGATATCAACGATCAATCCCAAATTGGACCAAACGTATTCGACTCGATAACAAACAGCGATTTCGAGGAACCGAAACTGACGAGAAGGTGCAATGACAACACGAATACAGACGATAGACCACGACGTTTATACGGTATCTAAAACACATTATAATAAATTGTACAAAACAGGAAAAAACATACTTGAATATATGCTCGCCCAAGTAGAACGCAGAAAACAATCGAACGAACATGTACATTAAGCTCAACCGAGTTGACCAAACAGTATGTCCCCGGTCGAACGTCGAAAACGTTATGTTGGAACGGTTAAACAAACAGGAAGTTAAAAACAGCAAAGAGTTGAAATGACTGGAAACAAATAGAAATAAAGAAGAACAGAAAACCTTTCGTTTTACCTAAGGTGCATCAGCTGCCGTAAAACGAAGTATAAATTCCTCTCTAGCCCAAATTTCCTTAAATGGGGAGTAACCTCGAGCGTCTTTGTTGGGTTTGTTCTCAAAATAAATTTCATTTCACATGCGCTCTGTGCATAGGAACACCTGTGAAACTCTAACTAATGAGGCGAGGAGACATCCTTTTTTGTTTTTCGCTCTTTCAGCATACCGCCGATTGGACAATGTTCTAGAAAAAGGGATAAATCATCTGTACGCAGTGTTAGAAGCTGCTCCGATCCGCCGACAACAAAACAAACTGGACGTTGAGTTGGCAAGAGCCGTATTCCTATGCCAAGTTATCTGAACTGGAGTGAACGTTTTCACGATTGAAATGACACAGTTGTCGCAGTGACGTGTTGCTCCCAAGCTCATTGGTGCGAGAAACTGGACTGCTTGAAGTCTTGAAGTCTTGAAGTGACTCTCGGGTTCGAGGCTGGCGCCCAATGGTCCCGGATCCTTGATGGGTGCTTGTTTTCTGTTCTTGGAAGATGCAACTGTAAAATCAGAGAAAACTGGAGGGGCTCCGCCGCAAGTCTTGTGATCTGTCCGAAATATAAAGACGTCATCAATTTCGAATCTCGCGTTATTTTCGTTACCCGGTTCTACGGCCCGAAAATAAACTCGTGACAAAAACCTCAAACGTTTTTGTCTCCCGAGGACATCCGACGGCAGTAATCTCGGATCAGGGAAGAACACGTCATACCCAGTGACCTGACCAACAGATTCATCCCCCTATTTCGAACTTAGGTTTGTTCGAATGATTCAACCTTTTGGCGCTGCAGATCAAAATTAACGTGATGTGCCCCTTGCTTCTTGCTCCTCAGTCTCACGTCGCACTATCGTTCGCATTTCCTTCATAACAAATTGTCATCGGAACGGTATTATTCTTGTCATATTTCGATATGATTTTCAGAGCTCAAGCTGCCCATCTTTGGGCTGGGCGCGATAATTTTCAACTTTGTTATCTTGTATAGTATTAAACTCGAAAGCGCGTAAATATTACCTGTACGTATTATGATGGAAATCAATTGTTTGCTCACCAGTGTTTTGCAACTAAGAGGTTCGCACACTTCTACAGTTGATTTTCAATGTGCCTTCTACCCTATTATTGTATCTAAATTGTCTGCAGGTGAAATGACCCTGGGAGGCATTGCATATTGACCTTAGTGGACTGCTGTGTAGCAGGCGAGCATCAGTCCTATCTCTTGATATTTTTCCTATGCACACTTATCATGTGATGAGTATACAATGATAGGCCAGGAACGCAGCACTACAAAATAGATTAAAAGGGATGAATACCATTGCGCACCTCTGTGACCAGAGAGACCATTGATCGGGAGTTGTATCATCGGTTGACGAACGCCTAAATAGACGTCAATCTCACGCGATCTCAACGTGCTGTGTTGGTCCGTTCTCCACACCAGCGGTTCCCAAACACCTTATTAGGACTACCTAGGGGCTCGGTTCAGTTCGCCTTCTAGTAAAAAGTAGGGCAGTTTCTATTTGCAGTACCGAGCTCTTTAGAACCAGATGTCATATATATATATATGCCTTCTCGTGGCTGTGTTTTCTCACCTAAGTGACAGGACGAAAAGTCGACATCCGGGTTGGTGGATCAATGATAGCTCACCTAGGGAAGTTGGTCAAAACCCTAAACCAGCCAGGAAGATGCATACGAACCAAACTCACCCACACCCTCGGTGTGGTAGTGGTCACCGTCTCGATTTGGCATCAGGGTGCATTTAAAGCTCTGCTGGATGCTGACAGGTTTGAACTCTGATAAACTGTTCCAGCACTTTCGAAAGAATGCTAGTTTACTATTGCTGGCCTGTGGTTACTTCTGGTAGACCCCATAATGTATGGTAACCGCGGCAGCGGTTTTCCGACACCGTGGTAGCACCCGAATACAGGTTAACCTTACGCGACTAACAATGATCGTGTTTGAATGTCCGTCTGTGGTTTGGTGATAGTCTGATAGGTGGATTCTGTTCAATACCGTCGCCCATGCTGTCGGTGGGTTCGTACGATGTAATCACTTATCTATTGAAGGGGTTGACGAATAACATAACGGTTACTTCGCAATCCATTTTATGAACACTGCTAACACAGACGCCTAATGTTTACTTTTCTCTGTTACTGTATTGTTTTTCAGCGCTCCAACCCTGTTCATAGATGTATCTTTGGCTTGTTCTTTGCTGCGGTACTTCAGCTTCGTATCCCATTTACTTAGTTGCGTTTGGTCTTTCGCAATAGGTTGATCGCCGCATTTTCAAGGCTTGTGTAGTGCACCTGGAGTTTTTTTCTCTACAAGTTGCGGCTGCGATTTTTGCGTTTGATTTCTTTATACATTATTACCCACCACCAAATGAGTTTGTTTTTGTGTTGTCTGAGCATCCTGGGTACGAACTCAATGTGGAGAGTATGCAGGGAGTTCTTGATCACCTCTGCACATTGTCTACACTAGCTCCGGGACTGTTGCTCACCTGCGAAGGTGGTTCAAGTCCACGGCTCCAAAGTTTCTAGACATCCAGGAAATAGCTTTCGGGTGTCTTATACCAAATGACGCTCATATCTACAGGATCATTTACCCAAAGTTGGAAATATGCAGATCTGCGACACTATTCACTTGATTCATCATAACGATACTCATAAATAATAATGAAATTTCGCCACTATTTTTACCAAGAACGTGGGTTGTGCTCTACGCCGAATGGTACTTTCCGAATTTCTCCTGATAGGTGCTGCTAAAAATGTTCCTTGACAATCCTGGATCATTCATAGCCAGGTCGTCATCTGATTGAACGCATCTCATCCACTCCATGGAGCTACCCTCCTTAAGTTGGTACCTAAGGTCATGCATCATTGAACCTCACTCCTAATTTCTGAGTCTCGTTTTTGAGCAGATTTATTGTTGGCTCGTTACGTAAGCTTTCGAAGCTGCCCTCTGGATTGATTCATAAAACTTGACCAGTTGTGACTTACGTGGAAGTATTTAGCTGGGGAGCTGGGATCTCCACGTCCGCGCTTTGTACACTCATTTTATGGTAATAGGTGGCAGAACGTGCTATTCGCCGTATGTAGGAGACTCATCTATCCGTTATCCTCGCCTTGAATTTCCCAAGGTATGGTTGCTCTCGATTCCCATTGAAGTCTCCGATCTGAACTCCCCACATGTTGGATCAGTCCTTACATATACCGTTGGGTAGAGACACCAAATGCTGTGGCTGACTGGCATCGTGCGTCTGCTCATTATTCTTGCAACCCCAGTCTATATGAATCCTGTATCGTCTCTTTCGCTCTACTCTCAAAACACTAACGCAAAAATGTTAGATATACCGTGAAACGAATCAGAAATTTGTTTTTTTGTCCAGTGTAACTGTTTTCTGTTACTACAAGATTGGTTTGGTCCAGCACCCAGCCTCACCCTGACTGGGGGAGTAGTAGAGGAGATAGATAAATTTTGCAATCTGGGCAGCTATATCTCACCTGGCGAACGCATCGCAGATGAAGTGTCAGCGCCCATACAAAAAGCTCGGTTGGCATTTGTCAACTTGAGACATCTGTGGCACCGTCGCGACATCCGGCTGTTTGTGAAGGGTCGAGCATATGCTGTAGCAGTTCGCCGAGTCATGCTATACGGTGCAGAGACTTGGCCACTACGGGGACAGGATAAAAATAGATTGTCGGTGTTCGAACACTGCTGTCTACGTAGCATTGCACGAGTCTGGTGGAGCAGCCGGAAGAGCAATGCTGAGGTTAGGCGCAGAGTTTTCAGTAACCGCGGTCGCCCACTGGAGATGACGTTGGTTGTGACATGTGCTACACATGTCACCAGATAGGTTGCCACGGCGAGCGATGTTTGGTGAGACAGGTAGCGGTTGGAAAAAGATCAAGGTTGACCAAGCTGATACCTGGCACGAAGGTATGAAAACCCTAACCAGGAGACTAGATCACATAGACCCCGTTAGGCTCCCTGGCTGGGGACCTCGGGATGATTACCGATGGTTAGAGACACTGAGTGATATGGCTGAGTGTCGCAAACAGTGGCGCTCGTGCATCCATTCATTATTCCCCTAACACCGTTCTGTATTCATTTTCCACCTTCCGCTTGAATTTGCTTTTAACATTTCAGTTTTCATTCTGCTCTTTTATCCACATGGGCAACCAAAACCGGCGCATGGTTAGTGGTTGTACAAACCGAGCTGAACCGATGCGCAGGACTGAACTGTGTACTCTTTGTGTTGACCATAAAGGTTCGGTTTCTTTCCCCGTCCATGAGCATGGGCCAATGCCTATCCTCCTTGCACATTTTCACTTACCTTGTATGCAATATTCGTTTGGTAGCGATCAGTGAATTTCGTTCAGTGTGTTATGCAGTACGATGATTATTATTATGCATTCATTTACCTAATAGACAAAAAAGAAGGCAGGAAGTTCAATATTTATCTGAATGCCATAATTTTGTATCCAAGAGTCTTGTAAAGATGATTACGCTTCTATATGATCTCCCACTATTTTTCCGAATTACTCTTATTCCTAGTTATCATGAAAAGTAATGATCTTGTCATTTAGAAAGCACGGTTTTAATTCTGATGTTTTCACATTAAATTTTAGCGCCATGGGTAACACGGTGCATGCTGCTTCTGCCTCCGGTGATTCCTTCTCCCATTCGGATATGATAGAGTCAGAGAAACCTTCATCAACACCCGAAAGCCCCGGAACAATCGAAAACATTCACAACAAGGCACACGATATTTTCCCCATACCTTTTGACGGGGCGAAGTTGGTTATCAACAAAGGCTTGTCTCCAAATTTTCAAGTCAATCATTCACTTACATTGAACAATGATGATCAGGGCGGGTACCGTTTCGGTGTCACCTATGTTGGTCATGACAAAGTATCCGACGTGGAAAGCTATCCAGTTCTAATGGGCGAGCTGCAGCCCAATGGAAACATTCAGGCTCAGATCATTCACCGTTTGTCCCCTATGGTCCACATGCGTTATATTGCCCAAGCCCAGCGTAATCGTATGGCTGGACAACAGTTCGCAACGGAATGGAAAGGTACCGAATGGCAAACAGCACTAACCCTGATCAATCCGGATGTTACTCGAGGACAAGTCATGGGTGCGTTGGATGTAATGCGACAGGTCTCGAAACGCGTAGCATTGGGCACTATGTTTTTCTACCAGCGGTCACCCCAACTTCCAGCCAAGCAGGATGGTGTGTGGAGTTTTGGTGGGAAGTATGTTGCTGACAATTGGCAGGCGGCTGCTACATTGCGGCCTTGGCAGCTGGGACTACATACCAGTGTCCATATGCAGGTTAACGAAAGTCTGCAACTGGCCGCTGAGTGGNTACGACTACACTGGGGTATAAATATGAGATTCCTAAAGCGAACGTGACATTCAAAGCTCAAATTGATTCGAATTGGAATATTGCTTCATCGTTGGAGAAGAAATTGACACCATTCCCTTTTACCTTTACTCTGTGCGCTCTCGGCAACCAGGCGAAAGCCAAGTACGCCTTTGGAGTCGGCCTCATGGTTGGCTAATGGATTTCACACCACCCGGTTATCAATGAGTTAGTAGCATCACGACTTAGCATTACTATGGAATTTTCGGTATGGATGGTCAAGCTTCCCAAGCTTATTCCTCCAGGCGGTCGGTTGCATTCGATTTCCATGTTTGCCACATGTAGCCTCTTTCCTATCTTCCGCTTGCCCTCACTCACTTGACCATCTTTCTCTTTACACTTGATCGTCGGTCTCTTCCTTTCTCTCTTGTACATAGTTATCCCTTTTCCTTCGATCGATAGTTGAATCATTGAACAAGGAATTTCCGGTTTTAGCTTCGTGAACTATATTGGTCTTTTTCATTTGAGATTTCGACAGTCAGATATACGGGTGAAAGCAATTCGACAGATTATTAAAACAACAGTGTGGTCATCGGCTCGTGAGGTTCTTTTGTGCTGAAGCGAAGCTCCCGGCTTTAATTCAACTATTTAAAGATGCTTAATGGTATTCTTTTGTGGTACCTGTTTGGGTGCTGAGCTTTCTTTGATTTTGGCATATCTGGACAATCACTAGTTTTAGAAGTTGGTTGTTTCGCGTAACCGCATCCAAGATGGAGGATAAGTAACATAGACCCCATCTATACATGGGCTCTTTCGAGTAGAGGAGATGAGAAGGAAATTCAAAGGAATACTGATAAAGTAAGATAGAGAAGCAACGGTCTTACGGAAGGCTAGTGGCTGTCAGTTGGGTGTCGATAAGGGAAGTTGCCTTACGCTGAATATGGTAAATACACGCATGACGGTGATGTGAATCTGGGATTTGGTTACCACAAGGTGAGTTAAAGCGAAGATCGCACGAAACAAGAAACTGATGTTGGGCGCAGCAAGCGAGAAAATGTATATAGAAACCTAAGAAAAACTGAGAAGAACGAAGTTGTGATGAATATCAGGAGGTTTCTGTTTAAGGAGAGCTCGGTTGTCGTAACGGAGTATGGTATGTCTAACGTTGGAAGTAAAATAAGTGGTGGTGGCAGTTCAAGGGAGAAATAAGGTGCACAGTGTGTTGATGACAACAACGGATACTGGAGGTTAGAGGTCATCAAACGTAGGTTCATAAGGATGAACTAGAGTGGGTAAATCCATGGGGGGGGCGTGTCGGCACTTACAGGGAAGACCTGGGTAAAAGCCTCAACTTGGACGAGGATGGTCCGAATACTGAGAACTTTATGTGCACGACAAGTGTCGGAGAAAACGCATGCCTATGGTTTTGCCAGTAGCCCTCGAAGTCGGAGATTCTCAAAATACCAATCGAGACTGTGACATCTGTCGCTGCAGAATGCAGTGGAACAACGGGTGGCAGGTCCGACTAAAACTACGCATCACGAGGAGGGGGGGAATAAACCAATTTGGCCAACTCTGGTGGTTTTTATTAATTTCGAAATGTCAGGAATGACTCGACTGAGGTGTTGGTTAGAATCATAAGAGTTGCTGTTCTTGGTGACAGATATCTCAGGAATCATGATGAGCACGAAGAAATAGACGGCGTAGAATAGTAACCAATTCAGAAGTGCACATTTTGAGGGCTATCAGGAATCCCTTCTGCCTACATAACCACCCGGCTCAGTTCAGAGTAGGAAAAATGTTACTGCTTTCCACCTTTATGATAGGAAGTTCGTTTACACAATCCTTTGTGGTAACACATACGGGAAATATACTGCAAAGTGGCTTCCGCGGTGCCACTGAACCTTTTCTGTTATTCAACATTCAGTATTAAGACAACCGTAGATAGAATATTTTACCGACCTCTACTTAATACCCCATGGAGCACCCGGTACAGAGTTATCATCGCCTGTGCAATCATGGATAACTGTAACTCATTCTTATCACCACCTGTCAATCAGTAAACTATCAATGACCGCACAGATGTAACCAGTATCTGAAAAGATGCGACGGGTTGAGCAATGATACAATAAAGATAAGAACCTATGCGATGAAGCCGAGTAGCGAAGGGTGAAGCCGCAGGTAACAGATTGTTGTCATTGTGGATTGAATGTATTAATCAACCAGGGAATGACAGAAAAATATGATTTCTGTTAGCTAGTGAATAGATTCATACTATTCTGTTAATTCCTTCACCATTGTTAAGTATCTTGTCAAGTGTGCATTTCAATATCAGAAATACGTAAGCAATCGCATTTGATTCAAAGGACTCGGTTTTATTTGAGAGAAACTCGGCCTCAATGGAATTTATTCATTGGGTTATTGAGGGCTTAGACGGACTCCACTCATGCATTGAATCATGTTCACATTCACGTCTGGGTATGGTGACAGACTTATCGATCCATCTTGGCGTGATTCGCTTCCTTACGCGACTGACAGAGGTGAATTAAATCCGGGTTTGTTCATTCGTATCTATGACGCACACTCGATCAACGATCA